ATTTTTAAGACGTAGTTTTAATTTCTGAATAATAGTTTGTATGGTCTACATTTTTTGTATCAGGTCTGTGTGAGTTAATGTGATATTGGTATATTTGTATACGACACAGGAATAACCAGTTTGTAACTACGTTATCTAAACAAAACGTTTATGAAATTGCACATTGCATATTTGTACTTGCACAAGGATCTCTTTCAGTGGAAGCAATACTGATAGAGGGCACAAAGAATTTCAGATTTTTCCTAGATTTAATGTCACTCTCTTCTACAAGCTTCTCTGCCTACCATTCAAGGTAAAATCGTGATGATAATCGACCTACATCCACAGAAGAAATGCTGCGGTCAAATCGTAGACACTATGCGCTTGTATTGTGTACCTTAATTACACGAGATTCAGTTTAAATTCATTTGCATCAGTTATTAAACGAGGAAGAATGGATAATCGGCAAGTTAATTGGTGCATGGGTAGTTAATTGCAATATTAACATCGAACCTTATTATGATTTATCAATTAATGCTTATTTTATGACTGAAATATTGCCGCGTTAATTAAGAGGACCACGGCTAATGAAAAACTGTATTGTTATTTGGTACTGTAGTCTTTTTATTGGACAAAGTTCTTAGTTCTACTAATAACGCGAAAGTTTATAAGTATGGAATGATGTTTTTTACTCTTTTACTTAAAAACTGCTTAACGGATCTGAATGTTGGCACAGAACTGGATTATAATAAGGCAAATCACGTAGGCTAACTTCTCATCTGGGAAACGCGGTCGAAGCCGCTGAAAAAAACTAGTTTTATTCAAAGTACTTCTAGATATTAAGTACCAACACCAATTATCGTCAATTTTGTGAATAAAATTTCAATTTAATTAGTACAAAGTCAATTGCCGGAGCGATTTCCAGAATCCGTATTACTACTAAGAATTATTGAAAAAAGAGATACGTCGCTTCATCTTTATTTTTAAAATACGATTTCGTATTTCGAAATAAAACAATCGCTAGACTTAAGATGTTATTCTAAAAATAACATTGTTCATTTATTGATTTATTTGATTACTTTTACGACGAAAACAAATATGTTTGTTGTTATTATTATTATTTGTGCCAGAGTTGAAGTGTGAAGTTAAGGAGTCTCCATCACAGATGGGTTCCTACAGGGCCGATCCTAAGCCGGGTTTGGGGTCAAGCGCAATAAGGTACCACGGTCTCGAACTGGGGCAGGAGAAGGAACGGAGGGGTTTTTAGTCAGTAGCGCGAGAAGATTTCGTCATAATTATCATCGGCTTCTGTCAACTGCTAGCTCTAGAAATTTTCTGACTCTTATTTCTCCACATTAAAATTATTATTATCTAATCAAGATCCATTGACCTTCTTATACAAGAGACGTTAAAAGTCGGATTGATAAAAGAGTATATTTAACCCTTATCAACAGTAAAGAGTTCTACTCCACTAAACCTACTTAAATCGCCATCATAATGAAATGAAATGAAATAAAAATAATGAAGGAAGAAAGATATTTAAAAAAGGGGGAAAATATAATACTATTAGTACCCAGATGTGTCGAGGATATAGGGGAAATTGGCGGAAAGCTCCCGTGGAGATTGAAATACGAACAAAGGGTCCCCCACCCGTGTGATATACAACCTCTATAGTGTAGAGCAAAGTTATTAACCTAGTGGATGCAAACCTAGGAGGGTGGGTCACGTGTTTTCTTTTAAGCGTACCTTATCGAAGGCGTACAATAAGGCAAGAGTTTAGTCTTACTAACTATTTAAGACAAACAAATAAACAAACACGGTTTGTTTTGTTTTGTTGCTGTGTCTATTAGTCATTATTCAGTTATTAACTTTGCTTTTAATTGATTGATATTATTAGTCTTATTGTCGAACACTTAGGGCTGATTTTTTTTTAATGGCAAGATAAAAGTTACTTGGGAAATAATTATGATGCTGTCGCGTCAAAACGTTTGTATAAGACAGTGACAGCAACAATTTTATTCCTTAGATAACATTTATCGGACTATTGAAAAATCAGCCCTTAATAGAACTTGAAAATTTAAATTCAAATTGTATATATTTCTGTCTAAAATCTAAGAACAAAAGGAAACCCTTATTCCAGAGAAACAAATTTCATTTTTGGATCGAACTTGCAATTACATATTTAAACATAAGCATAAGCATATTACCCCAATGAACCTAACAGTTCACAACTTCAGTTTAACACAAACCATATTTAGTATCTAAAGTCCAAGCATTTCATTAAAACTCTACGAACCGACTAAAACACTAAACTCACAAAAGACTCTAGTTTCTGTTGATAAAAAATCCACTTTGGAACGATTCAATTTGCAGACAGAAAAGGAAGGTTTTGTCAGTTTTCATTGGATAAAAAAGGGGGAAATCTAATCCTCGTACTGACTCTATGCTTGTGTCACGGACAGACACGGTGATTCCCGTCGAACCGATCTAAACGATCCGACTATCAATAAATGAATATATAGAAAAGTCTAGAACATTCAGCTCAGCGAAACTATGTGCTGTACGATTCGATGAGAATTGGATAAAATAAATAATGAAATGTATACAGGCTGTTGCATTTGTCATTAGAACTACGACGATAGAGTAATTTAATCTATACTAATATTATAAAGAGGTAAAATTTGTAAGTTTGTATTTAGGGGGTAATCTTTGGAAGCACTCGTCGGATTCCGAAAATTCTTTCACTTATTGAAAGCTACAATGTTTCCGAGTGGTATAGACTATAAAACATCACGCTACAATCAAATGGAGCCGAGCAGCGGGTGAAACCGCGCGGGAGTAGCTAGTTATACATATTTACAGACTCCGTACCGCTATTAAACATTTTTGGATAAACCGGAAAAATATAAAATATGTACTTTTCTTGTCTTAGGGACGAATAGGAACGAAAGTTGATCTGCAGCAGCACTCGTGACTCGGCCTACAAGGGAGTCAAAGTATAAACAACGATATTTTTAAATAGAATGGGATACTTAATATTTGTCGCATTTATATTAAAAAAACTTAAACATTTGCTCAGTTACTTCTGCCTTTTTGATATCGCATTGCGTTCTTAGTAACTACGTTCCAATCTGTAGGTACGATTTTAATCTGCACTTCGCCATTTTTATTTTTACTTTTTTACTATTTCGTAGTTTTATTCGAATCCCTGGCTTTTACGATAGGCAGGTGATGCATGCGTGCTTAGTGTATGTATGTATATTCGAAATGGAGACAATAAAAATGACTTTACAACCAAACCCCACATTTATTCGATGTTAATCGCCTTGGTCTTAAAGTAAGATAGAATTTTACTACGTGCCTACAAGTTCATAATACAAAAACTATTATAGCATAATTAACGCAATAATTAAATTTTGAATAGGCAATAGAGAACTTTCTAAAACATTCACGTTAGTGCAATACTAAACATTGAAGTACGGTAATGAACTGAAGCCATTATTACTGTCATAAACCTATTATTAATTAGCAACTTTTTATTTATAATCGTACGAGGTTACACAAAGCTGTGGAAATTACACTGATGCGATTCCGGTTACGTCCGGTTCGGCCATATTCATTATTATTCAGTTAGCAAGCGCAAATATTTTCGCTTGCAGTCTTGTTTTATGATCGCGTCTATGTGTGCGCTGTCGCGTCAATGTGTGCAGTTTGCACGGTTGCGTTTTGTGCTTTTTTCCCAATTTATTTATTCACGTCGACGACAGGTGGCGCTGCCGGCGATCTGTGCCCGCGATACGTGTAAACTGGCTCTTAATATTTCATTCCACATTTTATTTAGGCGCAGTCAACCTTAAAGCCCGCGCAAGCTGTACGATCAACGGCTTTATTGTTTTAGCTGGAAATTGTACATAGCTATCTATTTATACGTATCAATGGACAATCGATTGCACATCACTTAACAATATCACACTTAGCTTGCTCCATTAATATAATCGAGGTGCCATGTTTGAGCTCAAACATTATTCATAATACGAACCAACTACCACGAACCGTACATTTTCTTACGGGTTAATATTTACAAAACAAGTAACCGGAGTCGTTTGAATTTACTTTTTCCGAGTGGTATTTCATTGGTCGTTGAGTGAGTCGGCGGAGTTATGAGCCAATTAGCGGGCTGCTAGGATAAAATAAGGTTTTTATCGCACGTTTGAGGAACGACATTTTAGGCATAGCGGTGGGCGGACGTCGACCAAGTCTGTGGGGGTTATCGTTACTATAAACAACTTCATGGCGTGTCTTCACACGCACCACTTTATCGGCAGTCCAGCCTTTTTGTGGCTGCAATCATTTATACGTTAAGCTATCCAATGTATCAGCGACGCGCGACGCGCGACGCACCGCATCGATTACTGACTCTTCCATATCTCCTCGACTTGATCACCCATTATTATAAAAGTTGATTCCATTAATATCTAATAAGTATTTCTCGCACAGGATATCCGTTCGTTTGATGTCTCGTTTAATGCATATATCGCGTTTGTTTATAGTAACATTCCATATCAGTAATCGATTGAGAATAATAAGAACATCGGAGAGCATTCACTGAATAATGTATGTAAATATTCATGAAAGCAAAATGTCCATTAACTGAAAAGGTTTTAACTTCGACGTCACGTACACGGTTGGGTAAAAAGAAAAATAGACAAGTACGGACCGAATGCCGGAAGAGGGGCAATGAATTAAATATGCATGTAATTTAAAGGCAAAACGGGAAAACGCGAAACGGTCGGCTTGTTCCGAGTTGTATAACCGATAATTCTGATAAGTGACCGCAGAGGGCATCTCTATTTGGTAAATAACATGGAGTACTGTTTTGGGGTTGCGAGACCCGAACCAACATATACAATTATAGTATTACAAAAATTCCGTCCTCATAGATGCGTAGCTGTTCCGTAAAAATATGTTTTACGAGAGGCAAGATGTGACAACCCTAATTTAAAAAATGTATTCTCACTTACCGGGTTTGGGTAGGGGTGTTTTGAGATCGTTGACGGCCAACTGAGGGTTCTCTTGGACCTGTAAAAGTGTTTATGTAAATAAATTGAGGAGACCACCGACAAAACGAAATACGAAACAAATCTCCATAATTATGGAGATTACTCTTATACAATTAATTTGGAAAACAGTTTTTGTGTCATTTTTTTTATTGGTAGCATCAATAATTTAAGTTGCTAAATTATTTTAAAGAGATAATAATCTAATAGTTTGTATATTATAATCCATTTATCTATTTTAAGTCTATCTTTAATGAGAATTTTCCGGAGCGCTGCAGATACAAAACAAACTTTTAGTTCAGCTTGTTGACGATAGATGGAGCTAAAGGTTCACAAATGCTTGTTTGACTTTATTTTCAAAGCTGTGGTATATGACGACACTTACAGTAATTACATTTGAGACCTTATTACAATAGAGTAAGAACACTTATTGATTGGTATTTTAAAGATGCAAGTACTACTAATACAAAATTATGTCAATACAAGCATTCCACACAGAGCACTCGTTGCACTTTTAGTTCTATTGACTGTGGAATACGAGTTATTTCAGCTTGAAAGGGTGTGTGTGCTTAAGCTATAGCCGTTGTCTCTGAATTAAATTAATGTTTTTTATCGTTGTTGTGAGGATTACACATACATTTTGGGAGTGCTAACAGTCAGTAACCTATGTATGAGTACTTTTTTGTGGAAATTGACTTTGTAAAACTCGCACTAACTAGAAATGTGGTTAAAAATAACTATGTAAAGATATTTTATTTCATTTTGGTAATGAAAAAACGTTTACCCTTTGAGAAACTACACAAAGTAATAACTTGAACTAGGCAAACGCATCCAATCATATTTTCCTCGGATCCATCCGTATATCGTCCAAGTAGTTTTACGATACATATAAGTAAATAATATTCAGTTAGCAACGTAAGGAATATTCTCGAAATATATCCGACGATATCAAGACGTAGCATCAATTGTCTTTTGTCGCCATAAATCATGGCCGCCAGTGTACGTATTTTTCGCGCGTCGCCATTGGTCGAGCCGCGACCTTGTGCGGTGAGCAAGTGTACAAATAAATACGTTTTAGCGTAGTCATGAACTTGAAATTTGCATTTATAATTGTTTTCATATTTTCCAAGTGTTACGCGATTCTGTATACACGACTAAGTTGGCGTTTTAAATTAATTTTGTCTACGTAAGCGAGCGTGGTTGTTGTACGCTTTCCTACGATTACGTAACGACCAATTGTTGTAAGAGGTTGTTCAATTAAGTCTTATGTCATTTTTTAACGAATCAGTGTCAAGGCTGGGTGTCATGTGACCTAGTTTTCGCAGCTAAGGCTAAGATCAGCCGTCAAGCGCTTGCTACCTACGTTGCCATATGAATTCTATGTTTGAATCTTACCTTATTTGTGTAGGGGTTGAAGATGAATTTGTTCTCCAATTCTTTTCTTGGCGTCGCAGCTATCACAGACAACGGCGTCGGCAGAGACTTCATCTCCTACAATAGCAAACAATGTACCGTGAGCTAACATGCTTGAAATAATGATACAATGCATACGCTAGTGAATCATACGTACCTTTAAAATACTTTCTATTGGCGGTTGACTGCTATCGATAGCATTCTGTGAAAAAAAAACAAAACATTTTTAAATGTTTTCGAAAAAAAACACTATTCATATCGGAACCCATTCATTTCGCTGTATAAATCCTCAACTTGTGGATAGAATTTTAAAAGCCTAAAAGTTAAAATATTGGATTTCAATACTGTCAGATTCCAGATTCATGCAAAAATTTAAAATGAAATAATATTGTTGTCGGGATTAAACGAGCGTCCGAACTATACTCAGTAACCGGGGCATTGTAGCACGTGGATAAAATATTGTGACGTCACAAATGAATCATATGCGCGCTTTATAATTTACGGTGGCCGAAAAACATGGCAGGGCAGGCCAGTCAACACGGATACAAGCAAGTAACGAGATAAAGCGCGTCGCTCGCATAAAAGATTGGACAAATTTGCTCTGGCAAGAATAAAACTACTTTTACGAGAATACATTATGCCTCCTTAGCGAAGCGGGGCGATTAAATTTAGGGCCCGTTTACGGCCGACTTTGCTTGTATGATTTACGAGTTTACGGCAATAAATGTATTGTGTTGTTCCCATTGAAGGAATCTGCCGGGGCCCTTAAATATTCAATTCGACGAATACATTTCGTCTTTCGTCCTTTTATAAGACAGCGTCCAATCATTTGGAAGGAGACGCAGACATTTATTGGATAGTGTCAATCGTTTTTGAAGAAGTAGGTAACGAGGGTGAATGTTGTGAAATAAAGGTTAAACATTTTCAGAAGATAATTGTCTTCTCAGAAGAATAGCGGTATCAGGGACAAAGGGAAAGGGACTGAAGCTTTTGTACTAAGACGTTCTTATTACATTGTGACAAGAAATTGTATGTCTTCAACAATAAAATAACTGTAGTAGGTACCTATAATGGATAAAATGGAGAGCACGCGTGAGTGACTAAATGAGGGATTTGTATGGAAAGCTCACGAACTCATGACTATCAGACGAAGGTCGTTTATAGTTTGGATCTTGAAGGACTTTTCCCAGTAGTCACAATATCGAATAGCTCATACAAGAGCTCCCTATTTAGTAACCACAGCTAAGTTAACACAAGAACTATTGTTTTCATGCTACAAACGCTCCATAAATACCAATGAAATAGTTGTAAAGGCTTACGTTTGGCACAATCGACGCCCACTTGTTGACCTATCTATATCAGCAATAACACCTACGATTCTGAGTGGGGAATGACAGTTCAAAATGTGAACTTTGTAGGGCAGAGGGCGCCCTTGTTGACTTTCAGGTACGCGATGATAATCATCAAATATGTATTAAAGTCATCGCGTATGATGTGTACATTCCAGAACAGAGTGATGTGAATGAGTCAGTGATTCGCGATTAATCTATGAAGTACAAAAAAGGGCTTTAGAATTTACTTTGCAATGGTTAATCTAAGAATAAATGTGATCTTTATATTTTGATTGTTATAAAATCTGTATAAATAATGAATTATGTTTCAGTTCCCTTTAATAAAGAGCATTCCAAAGTATGTATAGACTTCTTTATAAAAACTTCCCCCACAGTAGCATATTACGAAATGTATACTTAAAATCGAAAATATGTAATGAGGGAGTGTAAAAAACTGAATAACTACGTAGTTGACAAATACTTAATTATTGACAGAGTTGTTAATAATGGTTCTCTGGAGATTAGGTTAGCACGCAACGGTTGACTCTTGTGTTTCAAGTAATTTGTGAACATGTTGGTTGGTCCTATAACAGTGTAATATGGTTATAAACTTAACTGAACTAGTTTAGCTACTAGCCTTTACTTAAACTAGCTAATGTCGTGTCCACGATTTTTGGTCTAATTGACAGTTTCGTCCAGTGAGTCAACGGCCACAAATGGTAATACTTTAGGCCCTAAGGATATCGAAAGGTCGGTTGTTAGTAAACTTTCGATAATTTATACAAAATGGATGTTTGATCACGATTATATTTACGACAAAGCTATAGCTTTACGCAACATACTAAAGATGGAGGTCTCAGAATTACACAAAACTTTTGCAAGTTTAAAAATCAATAAACAGAATTATATTTTGCAACTCTGTATAGGTACTAAAGGAACTCGTATTCATTAATAGTTCGATAAGGTGTTAGATAATAGTGAAATGATTGCGATGAATGAATTTTCCATGAAAACAAGGCACTGTTATCAAACTGACCTGTGACTGGATACCGTTGGGTATCCTTATGGGGGGCGGCCTGTGCGGGGCTCCCGTCGAACCGGAACCATCGCTCTGAACCAAAAAATGCACATTAATATTCTATTCACCTCTCCTCTTAATAGAATTACGTTTTGGGATTTCTTAAACGACGTCTCTGAATTGGATTGTTTCTTTTTGCGAGAAAAATCTTAGCTCGTTATACGGAAACATTGCGTTCGGTTTTACTTTCTTAGAAATACATACACACGTAGCTATTAATGTCGTTTGGTCGTCGACTTTGTTAGAAAAATACGGTACGTACATAGTATACACAAGTGTACCGTTTAATGTTTATAATTCGCCAAGTTCTGTGAATATCAAATCTATTCTGCCATTCATCATCATACATGTAGCAAGTTTCCCGAGTGATCGAAGTTAGTGGCGCCGTTTTGGAGTTAACCACATTAAACTTAATTACAATGTACGCTTGATGAATAATTCAGCTAAGAATTAACTAGTCCAAGATGTGACGGTGACGGCATGAGAAGTTTTAGATGAGACGTGAAAAGGCCGGTCACGGCTCGTAAGACCCTCTCAATCAGCACTACGGACATGATTATCAATGCGACTTCAATCCAACAAGTTCGCGATCCATTTAAATGTAAACAAATGCTAAGATAAAGCTTGGCAACAATAAAACGAGTAAAAGAGTTAAACCAGGAAAAAGTTGTATTGTCGTTAAGCATATTTCAGGGTAGCAAAGCGATCTAGCACAAAAGATGGTGCAGCCCGAAGCGACGGAGTTTGGTGGGGAATTTAAAAAGTTTCATGATAACACAACATTTTCCTGGATGATATTGCTTTGTAAAGCGTACAGCATGACAATAAACACCATTGTGTTCCGATAAGTATTTGTAACGAAATTTTCTCGATTCTCACAAGGATCGCAGTAACGAGTTGGTATGTCGCGCGTTTGAACGCGAGACACGTGTCGCTTATTATTTATTGTAGCGGCACTATCACGTCGCTACATTACTTAGATACGATAGAGATAAGACATACATGTTAATTGTTGCACGTTTGTTAGGATAGCTAAATCTGAAAATCTCACGCATCTTCTTAGTATATAAGCACCAGCAATTAAAGTAATAAACAGACCTTAACCATCTACAGTCTCATTATTTACCTTGCCACGAAGTCTGGCAAATTGGTGACCCCGACGTGATCAATTTGCCAGACTTCGTGGCAAGGTAAATAATGAGACTGTAGATGGTTAAGGTCTGTTTATTACTTTAATTGCTGGTGCTTATATACTAAGAAGATGCGTGAGATTTTCAGATTTAGCTATCCTAACAAACGTGCAACAATTAACATGTATGTCTTATCTCTATCGTATCTAAGTAATGTAGCGACGTGATAGTGCCGCTACATTTATCATAACCTTAGAGCAGCGTTCTAGTTCTTATTCTTGTTCTTCATAAGGACACAAGTGAGTAAGGCTAAAGAGGGTTTTTGTTGAAACAAATGTGATGAACCTGCATATATACGGATACAAGCACAATAATCATGTTCTCGATCGATACTTACACGCGCTGCTTATTTTTTATCGGCTTAGCTAATACAATTTGCACTGAGTAAACAGATTTTAGTTCATAAGGATCATTTTATAAAAATTCTGTCGCCACATTAGCATATTGCAGGGTGGCTGTGACTTTAAAGTGCATGTATTTCATAGTTATAAAGTGTTTACCTTGCTGTGTGGGATATGGGGGCGGTGATGGCGGACGCCGTTCTGGGGGGCGTGAGCCGGCTTCTTGAACTCGCTCTCTCGCCGTGATGGTAGACCTGAGAACAAAGGAATACATTCATTACTACAGATAAACAAAATATACACACAAATATTAGTTACCAAAGAATAGCTATTTATTTATTCTACACGAAGTAAACTAAACGTAAACAATATCGGTAAAAAAACATTCCCAGAAAGATAATTGTTTGAGTATAATATGGAGGTTGTTTACTTTATCTCAACAGCTTATTCTGTTTCATCCAAACATCAATCTCGGGGCACCAAGTAATTATTGTTTGGTGTCAACGTTTACGACTTTCCGAGATTTTTATGGATTAATAAAAGACCGACATCACCTCAGTGCGGAAAGTCTCGAAATCATAAGGCACTTTAACTCCAGTATAACTAAAAGAAGGGGGATGGGTTCCCCCGCCACCCTCGGGACTCGTGAGGGGAATCTCGGCTAGGTGTTTAGCTGGTTTATGGAGATTGCGATCAGGACAAAGGAGTCCAAGTTACGACGCCTAGATTGCGCACTGATCCATATAGTCCCCTCTAAATAGATAGCTACCTCACCTTTTTTCTATCACAAACTTATACAATGAGTTTTACAGTGTTTATGTTATGAGCAACACGTGTAGAGGGGGCTTTCTTTGTATAGAATAGACATAATTTGGACGGAAATCGTAAAACTTAATCTATTGACTATTGTAGCCTAATGGAAGCATAAAACCAAGACAAAACAAAAGTGACTAATATTATAATGGGTTTCTTTACCCACTGAATCAACATCAATTTAATGTGTCTATCTAGTACTGTACACTAGTAGTTTCTAAATAGATTAGTGGAAAGTTTTAAGCTACTTAATGGAGTGCATTAATCAAAGAATTCAGAACGAATTCACGCTTCGATTTCTCAAATGATTCGTGAAGCAGTGTGGGAAAAATGTAATGCATTTCATATTGTAATTGGATTACGAACATTCAATAAATAAGGATGGTTCAAGTTGTTTTGAGGCCACCTCTAAGATCGTGAGTGCAGAATATCTTCAATTACTGGCACGCACGTAATGCCTATACATGATTGGTCAATTTCATATTTCCCATTACCCGCTACCAGTTTACAACCGCTAATGTGATCCACTAACAAGATGAAGTCGATCATAACATTCATAACTGAAACTTATTTAGCGATAAAATGGCGGGAAAAGGGGACGGGATAATGCCGCCATATTGAGAGATTCTCCCTTCAAAATGTAGAATATTTAACGATTTTGTTGTTTAAGTGTCTGTGAATTAATATTTTTTATGTATTAAAAAGCTATCTTCAATTACTATTAGGTCATACTATTGATATATTATTTGACTATAGACATGAAGGTTGTCTGGCCTTTGCACCATTAACATAATGATTATTATTAAAGTTTTTACAAAATCATATGTTAGGTGACGATATTAATTATCTAAGCAAAATTACTTTGTTTCTACATTTATGCATATTATATGTTGATGTTAAATACATACATGTGATACACATTGAATTACTGGGATTATATTGATTGAGACAGTTATTATAAACTTCTTAAACTTGATTGTGGATATGGTTTATTTTGTCTTCATACTCCGTGTGTTGAGAAAGTGATATTATTTTAAGCTGGCCAATCCTATCGAAGGCCTTACTAAAAACCAAAAACAACGAATATTTGAGCATTAAACCTCTTTTTTCCCTAACCTGATGTTACATTACTTATCTACATTATATAGAAGCGTCTATCGTGTGAAAGTATCGTTGCTTGAATGGTAGCTACTGAGAAAAATGTATTTGTGGGATATTTTAATCTAAACGCGGCGTGGGTGCTTCGCTCTAGTCAGGCGAAAATACTCTCTTCAAAACGAGATCTTTCCTATTATTCTATCGCATATTCCATTAGGATTTGTCTAGAACCTTATATGTACAATATCGTTACATAGACCTAAATATTGTTGATTGTGGCATTATACATTTAGATGGATAATGGATTGTGTCCGGCACGATAGGAAAGAGAAAGAGATTTGTGATTGGATACCGTTTGGTACGTGATAATGGAAAAGGACATATTGCGCGATTTCCAAGTTAATTGAGATGACAAGAAAACGATAAAAAGTTTTATTACTGGAGAGAACTGTGTTCAGCTGTGATGATGATGATGAAGTCTAACTGACTCTCTGGTGATGAATAGTGTGGCGTCTAACATGCGGAGCTTATTACAATAAGCTAAAAATGAGATAATTATTTTATGTAAAATCCTATTCATTAGGAAAATTAGCGATGTAAGAATATTTTTTATTAAGTAAGTACTCTAAGCGCGAGAGATTAAACGTGCTATATAACTCTTCCCGGATAGCAAACTTGTGTAGCTTCGGAAACTTCGTATGTTACTAAACAAAGATCTAAGTTTGGTATCGTTGCATTCTCGGTATGGAGATTGTGAGAATTTCACTATGAGGTAAGCACTCGAGCCAAATCTGCAATAACGCGAATAAGATCAACTGAATATTGATAAGCTCTGAAAGAATCTTCAGTTTGATTCTCTGGGAAACAAATGTCGCAGGTTTACGTTTATTTAAATTTTGAAACGTTACAAAAACAAAATGGATTGGAATTGTTCGAGTCATTCAAGAGTCGGGCAAGATATAATTTGGCTTCTCGACTTTGAAATGATTACAAAAAAACCTTGATAACTTATCTGGACTTCAGACCTTTTCTCCATTACACGGTAAAAAAAATTGGTGTCTCATTAAATACCAGTTACCAACACTTAAGCTTTAGGGAATAAAAGGCGCAATGTTATTCATGTAGGACCTTCTACAAAGAACGATTTATAGAAGACATACAATACAGGACAGCGGCGACGACCCATCTTACAAATATACACCTTATTGTGTCCATTGTTGATTCAAAATCCGATAAGCACACAATCTTGTCAGGTTTTATGGAATTCAATAGGATGTCCGATAGAGGTGATTCTGTTACCACTTAGTAGTCTCAATTTTTGTTTAAGTTAAGATATAGGATCTTAACTTAAACAAAAATTGAGACTCAATTCGGCAATTAGGTCTCGTTTATTGGCAAGTATTTTACAAAGTATCTCCTAAATTTGAGAATAAGAGAAATTCAATGGTACCCGCCATTTTGGAAATCTAAATCGTAACCAGCCTTCTTCGCCCATTTTCTCTTCTATCAAACGTCATTACATCACTGCAGTTTTGTTGTGTGTTTTCTTCCATTCTATCACAAATTTCTTTTTTTTTTCATATTATTCATCTCACAATTACGTTTCAATTCATCGTCCTATTGATTCCTATCTATTTATCCATACAAATATGTTTAACAGTAATCATATCAAAAGAAAACCTTTGTTATGGTTTGATGTCTCAACAGTTACGAACAAATAATTAACCGACATCTTGTCACTTGGTGTTACAACATAGGTTGCTATCATTTACGCTACGTACTTAATGTTTGGCACTAATTGTAATTAATTACTACGTAATAATTTAATTACATATTGTTACGTATTTTAATTACATATACTTAACGCTATGTCTTCATAAAAGGGTAATAAAAGTATCTTGAACAGTTTTTAATAGACAACTACAGTTAGACAGAATTTCAATTTAATCACGCAATAGTTTGTTATTAAATTTAAAAACAAGAATAACTTCTGGTGTATCTCAGGGCTCAATCTTAGGACCCACTCATTATTCGCTTATACATCATTAAGGTTTTTTCTTATTGATACATTACAGTTTATGCATAAAAAGGTTGTATTATAAACCAGTGTTTAATATTTACCTATTTGTCCAACAAATAAATAGTAATCAGTAAACCGATAAAAGCATTATTTACTAGTATACAAAATAGACAATCATTTATTTAATGCTGTATGTTTTAATACAGTGGACTCTGGTGTTTAATACACACACCTGTATGAATAAATACATACTAAATTATTTGGCATGGCTGATTTACTGCTAAATGTATGCAGTATATAACAAATAAACGACACCAGCTGGTATAATTGTATATCCTGTAATATTTTACTTTTTACCAGCAGTTGAAGTGAGCAAAAAGATTAAGAATCGATCAGCTGCTTGCAATGATTGCTTGTCGGGCAGTTTTATGTGTGGTAGTGATGTACGGTCATAAGGAGCTCCGTAACTGAAACCGACTTTAAAAAGATACGGCGGACTGAACGTACAAGTAAAACCTTGTCAAGGGATTCTGACAATACGCTTAAATGTTTAATAATCCAGTGATAAGGATAATTTTGCATTCGAAATCGGAACTGAGATTCGACTCTCGATCCGAATTGACATATACGTAACATCCCTGATATGTCGACTGGTGGGGAAGGGGGAGAACAATGGCCAGTGCTGGCCAATGACGCGAGCACCTGCGGCCGTTGACACGTGCGCGCGCGCACTCACCCGGCTCGCACTGCTTTGTTGATAATTACATGAATTATATTTGCGCAAACGATTAAATTATTATGATACTGGACAAACTGGTTTATTTGCAAAAGGTGCCTTCTGATTTGTCCAAATGATTTTTATTGGATTTTAGTTTAATTGGTATTTTACTACCACGTTGTTAGAAAGACGATTGAGTAACTAGCTTAATCTATTTAAAACCAAAGATTTTAGGTTATATAGAATTAATATAATTTCAAACAACTATTTTAGACGCTCCCGCGGGTATTATCTCAGTCCGCTGGTTTCCCTCGTACTCGTAGGTAAACATTTATTGATCTACGTATATAAACATATTATTCCTAACATATTAAAGAGAAAATGAAACATTACGCTTTATAGAGATCTTTCTTGTGACTAACAAACATTGTAATAAGGTCACACCTTTCTACCCTGGTCATAGCAACAATAATTCCACTTTGGGAACACGCACATTGAAATCAGAATTGAAAAGGCAAAATAAAACCTCACACTAACAAGTTGGAAACACAGCAAACAAATTTACTTTAACAATTGTCAAAGCGACTTCCAGAACTTTAGACTCT